CCACTGCAATGTTCCTAGTTCTCTTATATCACCGTTTGAATTTGTCCTACCTTGACTGTCACGATAAAATTTGTAGTATTTCGAAGTCTACATTCATTTTTATTAAATTCTAATGCATCAGCAGTCGGCGTCGAAATCAAGAAATCGTACGTGTTTACCTAGTAGAAGCAAAAATATAAGTGGATATCGGTACAGATGCATTGTGTTTGATGTGGGGCAATAACATGTCCAATCCAGTGGATGGGAGTTCAAAACTAACCGTGAGGAGAAACAAATCTTAGGAAAGTCAAGGTTTCGCGCGAATTCAATATCCTGTTTCGACATACAATACATCTTTCTGGCCAGGTCCCATCCTTCGATATTGTACGGTTTAAGTGAGAATTTGCATATCGCTCGGTGAGCTACATAGTAATCGTTCTCCAGGACCAATATAAATTTTGAGCAAACGAACAACATTACAGGCTAAACTTCTGCAGGTCGAATTACCCTTGTTGGGTTCTTACCGGTCCGTTCATCGTAATGTGATACGAACGTTTAGCATTCTCTTGAAAAACGATGGTCTTAGTGACCAATATCGTTTCTTCCGTGAGCTCTGCAATTGCATTTACGGATTGGCTCAACACAAGACAACGATGAATCTGATGAACAATACAACTCTAACACTGGTTGTGGATTAGAAGAATTCATTGAGTAAATAGTAATCAAAGCAAAGATAAAACGCTAATTTCAATTGACTGATCCGTATAATTTATATCATGAGATCATTGCGTTTTGCAATAGGTTCCGAAATAAAATGTTACCAAATTATCAGTCTCACACCCAGGGCGCTAAAAGGGACTAAAAGAGCATAATAATTCGAACTTAATTGCATAATAATATTCATCCAGATTGATCCCACTCTGCTGCGAAACGAGACACCCAACAGAGATGCAGTCGCCTCATTGTTCAACTTACTACGTAACGTTTGTAAGGTTGGACGTTCTTAACTTTTTTTTCAAATTTAATGCTAGTTTCCAGATAGCCCTTCTTATGAGGTTTCATTCTTGCATGCATCTAATTATTTCATTAACAATGAGACACACACCGAATGGAATAGAATGACTTCCAAACCTTTACTCAGCATTTCTGGAATATAAAGAGGTACTGCGCTTTTCCGTCACCCTTTTAAAAAATACGGTGATTACATAGCAGTAAACTGCCAGGCATCTATGCCTTTTTCGATATTTTTCCGTAATTTACACTTTTTGATCTCGATCTGGACTTCTGTTAAACCCGTACGTATTTTAACCTTTGAAGCACTCCTCCTACGCCATGTATGTTTGTAACAGTGAGTGCTAAACCTCGATCCAGATTGAGCACACATACACTGAAGCTTTACCAGACAATAATAAATGGTCTTCCCATATTCAGACTTGTGTTCAAAAGTGTATAATTTGTCTTTGCAGACGTGTTCTTTCAACGTTTTCTTTTACTATTTTTTGTTTCTGTATTTTACAGTCTCTTGAGCCTGTGTTCTATCAATCATCAGTCATGTTACTTTAATTTTCATGCGACCGCTGAATCGTAAAACTGACAACGCACTCCGTATTCTGTTCTGTGCAACGTTCGACCAATGAAATCTTGACCACTACACTTTCTTTTAACAAGGATTATTTAGTGTATCGTTTTGGTCATTTTACACCCTAAACTCTCCGGCATAGTCTGTCCTGCAATAACCCATACCAAAAATCTCCTGTCCCATAACTAGCACAAGTTTCGACCATCCGATGGAAAATATCCTATGAATTACGTTTCAGTCTTGCTGTATATCTCCTATGTTTTATTATCAACTATTGATTTCGTTATTTTTAAACATGAAGATAAGCGTGTGGTTGTGATTGAAATGTAATTATCTGTAATTGAAGAAGCCACGTAAAGCACAATTAGGAACAAAACATTGGGATTTATCTCCCAGGGGCTTTGGTAAATATTTTGAAATTAAATAATTTTTGACACAAAAGCGATTAAACTGAAAGCCAAACTTCGTGATAAATCATCCAACCTGTGTAACCTTGATCTGTATATTCGGTAATCGTTACACAAGCTACAAAATGTTTCCACATCAACTCGAACATGAACAACGTCCGTCAATATACTACACGTACCGCATAGATTGCATACACAAACCGGAGCTAAATAGACTGCAACGCTGTTTTAAACCAGTATTTCGTTGGTATACCATTTCAATATTATCACTTGACAGGCCCATGCGAACGATAATAGGTGATTCTTGCATTAGGCTTCACCATCTATTTATTGGCCCGGATGTATCTGTCTGTCATTGTTATGGACCAAGTGCCGATGACTGGCACGGGGCGGGACAAACGTGGGTCCCAAACCTACCCTCCCGTTGGATGCAAAATGACATTCGAAACGGATCGAGCCCCGAATAAGTCCAGTTGTTAGTGGCATGACTAGAGAATTATTGGGCCATGAACTACAATATGGAGTAACTGTTCTTGGTTGCAATCGGCGTGGAAAAAATGCTTCCGACAAAAGCTTATGCTCTATATGCATTTATTCTCAATATATTTATTCATACCTGGAGGTTTCACACGGTGAGCCGAAGCTCCTAGACAACATCAACCATGGAACCACGTGTCACGATTTCACACCGATCAATAATGATCTCGCACTTCAGACCAACCGAATTCGATGCGGCTCATGCAGGAACATCATGATTGAAAGGAAAAAAATTGCTGATTGATAAGTGTATTCCAGCCCAACGATTCGTTTATGTATTCAACATATAATAGGTTGAATTTTGAAACAAGCCTTTCCCGAGAATAATTTCAAAAGAAAAGACCATATGGCAATACTGCACGATTAATGTCCGGAATGATTTCGCTGCATCTCAATATGGTGTATACTGCAGAAAATAGGGCTTTAGCATAGCAACAAAGTAAAGCAAAATACATTAAAAACAGACAAAACATAAAAGAGGGAGGGGTAAAAGGACCAATATCACCAGGGTAAGGAGAGACTAACATGAAGTTCTTTTTGCTGACACAGGGGGGCTTCCATCGATTAATCGCAATCGCATCGGCAAACCTTAGCAATCTTGCTACTTGTGACTTGTAGACAATTTGAAACGCTGTGCCTCGGTCGACCTGGTGTTGCGTCATCAGCAGATGTCGAGTAATTGCTGAGGACGGGGTCTTGTAGTTTCGATCGTCGTTTCTATACAGCGGACTTGATCTCAATTGGGTCAGCTGATTTTGGACCCAATTCCGAATATGTTCCATCACCCGCTTGCGTAATTGTCGCTCTGTTCGGCCCACGTAGGTTACTCCGCAACCACATTGGAATTGGTAGATTAGATTAGAGTTGGCGTACAGAAGCAGACTTTCTTTTGCCGGGGGTGTGGGTATCCTGGTTGTTCGGTAGACGATTTGGGGTTCGGATGCGTAGTAGGTTCGAGCGATCGCTGACCTTAGTCGTTTGTAGAGCAGGCGGCTTACGTCATCACCTTTGAATTGAAGGTGTAATGTGACCCGCAATTTGGGAACTGACGCAATCGGTTCTTTCGCAATTTTCGGTTTGCTATGCTTATTAACAAACGCTTCGGGATAAGCGTTTTTTGCTATAAACTCCCGGAGGTTTTGCAGTTCTTGTTCAGTTCTGTCTTCTGTGCAGCTTCGCCTCGTTCTGTCAAATAAGGTCCGAACAAGACCACGTTTAGAGCCCGGGGGCATAAAGCTGTCAAGTGTAAATATTGGACTGTCCAAATGAATTTTCTCCAATAAACTGACCACTACTTTCGTGTCGTTCCTCTCGAATTAATGTACTTGGAAATTCCAGTAGATGACAGCGATTGTTAATCCAATTGCGATTATTGATCAGAAAATACTCCAAGTTCTAGCATTCGCTGTCGCGGGCCTGATCTCTTCGTCATTGAATAACTGAACCTGCATGCCAGTTTGTTCTAGATCGAGGAGTGGACGGAGCGGTTTAACTAACGAGGTAGTACTCATAAGGGTGAACGCAGTCTATGATAGTTACTCTTAAGAGATGTAATCCTACGTTATGCTTCAAAAAGCATGGCAAATTTTCCGGTAACCGCATAAGACCAAATAAAGATAGCTAATTAATTCGGTTTATTTCTCGGTCGCCACATTTATGAATTACTATTTTTTGGATTCTGTCAATAAAACATACTATGCTATTGCCACGTTTTCATTTACAGTGCGTTACCGTGACACACTATATTGTTCTAATGAATCTGAACGAGAAATTTAACCTAATTTTCCTCCCTTTATCTTGACTGAATTGCTCGCCAATGAATACGAAACTGTTTGTAAAAATATTGCCTCTTTGGTGTCAAAATCTTTACTTGTGAAAGTTGTATTACCAATTATGTTTTGCCTTATCGGACATGCAGTAGCCAGTTTTTGTGTCCTTTATGTAGCTCAACTGCATCGCACATAGTCTGATGAGGCCCGAGCTACACTTCTTTCAGAGTTTGGAGGTAGATGATCAGAAGCGTGAAGGCAACGCCGAAAACATTTCACTCTGATGGCAGTGATTACATATACGTGCTAAACGGCCGAGACATTTTATGCTTGAAGATATTCGGCAATCACGTTTTGCGATAGTCTCACTGTCGTAGCTGTTACGCATTAGAAACAACTGTGTCATTTGTCATGCGGTAAACTTGCCCTCAACTGGTTTAAGGTCGTTAGGGTCACATTGTTCATGCCATCAATCCCTTCCAGACTAGATTTGTCCTGAGTCCCGAGTTTAGCTTTTGATCAATGTCTTTGCACTTTTCCGTTCCATCATAATCCTATTTTGGGGCTTACATGATGATACTATTTGGCCTGGTCATCGGTAAAAATTCATTGACCGAAACGATCATGGGCAATATGAACAACGCAGCATGAATGTGCCCATCCTTGGCAGAATAAGCATTTCACATTCAAACTATATGCAGACGACTAAATTCTACACTTGTTCGCTGG